GAAGAAAATACACTGTAAAAAAATTCAAGTTGCAAATTAAAAAACATTACAAAATATAAAAACGAAACTTTCACAATAAATTGTAATTAACACAGAATTTTAGAGTGAAAACGAAATGGGGAAGTGAATATATTTTCGTTCACAGCCCCATGGAGTTTCCATTTAAGAAAGATTAATGACATTAGTTGAATAAGTGGAACACTTGCAGTGAATCGATAAATTCGTTGAAAACTTTTAAAAATTTCAACTATTTTTATTTTTTTTTTTTTACACACAAGTTTTCACTACATTTTTTTATTCGAAACTGTGACATGTGTTGGCGAACTTCAATTTTATTTATATTTAATTTTTGTATATTTAAGTGACGTAAAAATATTGTTTTGATTTGTATTTTATTATAAATTCTAGTCAAATTTTAGTTGAATTTTATTCTGAAAATTTTCACGCAACTTCACAACGCGTCATGCAATGCGATGAAAAGTCAGGACTTCATGAATTTTGTGTCAAATACACGTGTTGCCATATATTCCGTTCGCCACAAAGTAAAAATGTGTCCTGCCACTAACCTTAGTTTCATTGCGTTTCCCACATTTTATAAAAATACATATAAATGATTTGCATGTACAGTGTTGGAAAATAGCAAAGGTTCTTACACCACCATCTGCACCAATTCAGGTGGTAAAAATGTGTCCTGCTACTAACCTGAGTTTCATTGCGTTTCCCACATTTTATAAAAATACATATAAATGATTTGCCTGCACAGTGTTGGAAAATAGCAAAGGTCCTTACACCACCACCTGCACCAATTAAGGTGGTGCAATCAGAATTTTTTACGTTGAAAAACTCCTCGCGTGCTTCTATATGAAGCGAAGCGTTTAGTGACATGCATATATGCAACACATAGATAATTTAGACAATTTGTCATAGCAAACTATGGACACAAATAATATTCAAAACATATTTATTAAAAATATTTTAACATATTTTGCAGTGAAATAATAGAGCAAAGTGACAAATCCAGGTCAAACCAAAAAAACTTTTAACATATGAGATCATCCATTATTTGAATTTTACAAATCTTTTTTCATACAAACACATTATCATTGTGTTCTAAACAATTGGTGCTTTAATTCACACCTTTTTAGTTAAAATACATATTTTAAATATAATATTAAAAAGCTACTTATTATTGCTCTTATTGTTCCAAAACTACTGAAGATGGGTATGTACTCGAAACAGCTGCATGGTGAGCTAAAAATTTAATTAATTTAAAATTATAAAAAAAATTTTTGTTGCTGTTGTTCACTACTTTTCGATACCACTTCTTTAAAAAATTATTCAAAAATATTTATATTTATTATACATATCTAAAAACTAACAAACGAAAAATCAGCTACACCAACTATTCACAAATTTAAAACTTGACAAAACAAAACATGGAGGTATCCTTACAGGGATCCTAATATTGCAACAGTAAATGTTTAACGCCCATCTGGTTAAAATTCCATCCAAACTCAACAACTTCACTTAGACATGCGGAGCTATGCACAACTATATGCAGTATCCACTTCATACCAGGACTGGTTCAAAAGAATATTTTATGTGGAATAAGCCATTAGTCACTAAACCGAATCTGTTAGTGAGTTTACTTTTAGTACAGTATACGGTCCAGTAGTATTCCCTTTATAGCAGGACTGTTTCAGAAGTGTGCTTGATATGGAATAAGTAATCAGTGGCCACGCCACTTCTAACCCATATTTTGGTGCGTTTTACCTTAATACAGTATATGGTCCAGCAGTATCCACTTTATACCAGAACTCGTTTAGAAGAATATTTGATGTGGAATAAGTAATCAGTGGCCACGTCACTAAACCAAATCTGCTAATGAGTTTTTCCTTAGTACAGTATACGGTCTTGCAGTATTCCCTTTATGCCAGGACTGGTTCAGAAGTGTACTTGATATGGAATAAATAATCTGTGGCCATGTCACTAAACAACATCTGTTAGTGAGTTTTACCTTAGTTTTACAGTACAGTATATGGTCCTGCAGTATCCACCTTTTTAACAGAAGACTATTTGATATGGAATAAGTAATCAGTAACCAATTCTAACCCATCTTTTGGTGAGTCTTATCACAGTACAGTATATAGTCCTACAATATCCAGTTTTTACCAGAACTGGTTCAGAAGTGGGTTTAATATGGATTAAATGAACATAATGTGTATATTGAATTAGTAGTCAATACAATATAAATAATAACGTTCGATATCCTATATCAAAGGCTATTCTTCGATATATCCTGCTCTTCGATATTCGATATTTTGGTAAATATGTAAAACAGCCCATTTACACGTCAAATTGCTTTTCTCGAAAGGGGGAAATATATCCCAAGATTAAAACACATTGGTGCGAAATGCATAAAAAAAAAATTAAAGAAAATATTAAATTTTACTATGAAAATATTCCAACGAATACTTTTCTTTTGAGCACTAGTTGATCGTATTAAAATACACTTTAACGAAATTTTGTGCACTGCATTTAAAGGTTCGAATTATTTATCGGAAGTCTTTTCAATTACCAAAATGCATGCTAAAGTTTATCGAAAGGCATGTGCATCATATATCAGGTTTTATGTGCTTCAATTTTCCACTAGCACCCGCCTGATTTCCGATTTCGCCCGATTTATTTTATTATAAACCAATTCCTTTCAATCTGCAGCAAGCAACTGGCTCTTGCCCTTTTAACCCAAATCCATAAACTGCTGAATATTTCGTCCGATGCACACGCGATATCTTAATGCGATTTATTTCTGAAATTATAATAATGTTGGCTTACATATGTAGTTCCTTACTTTGAGGCGCATAAAAAGGATGAGTGCACTGAGAAGTAAAGAATTAAAGTTTTTCCATTTCAATATTTTCTGCTAAGCTGAATGATATTAACGGTGAGGAGGCGGGTAAGTAGTGTATGGCAAGTGCAAGTGCAAGTAAATGGAAACACAATCATTCAAAAGAAAAAAAAAGAAGAAAAACACAGAAATGGAAGAAAACCGAAACCGAAATTCATAAATTTATGTGCCACCAATGCAGTTGCGGTTTTGTGAAGCTTTGCCGACGCCACAGGATTATAGATGCCCACAAAAAATGAGAAAATGTCGGCATTGAATTTACTTGACTCGTCCTCTCTGCAATGTAGCCGTATATGAAATGTAGCGGGTGAAAGTAAACCAAACACAATCACTGAAAAGTGAAAGTAGATACTGAATGCGAAATTTATAATGTAAGTTGTGTAAGCTTTGTGTAGTTGAATGGAAATCTATGTTAGTAGAGCTTATGAAAATTTACACTGCTTTATGTCTATAAATAAAATTTTTCTACTAAGTGTCATAACTCATGTAACCACAACAGTCAGCAACGTATATTTCATATTGTCACTGAGTATGAGAAACACCACGTGCTGAGGTATACGACTAAACTAATCGTATTTCGTCCTTAAGGTCATACTACATAGTAGGCACTTTAATAGTAGCAAGCAACTCATTATAGAAGTAACTGAAATGCTCGTATTATTGCCATTAATAAAAGTAAATGCCTTTAAGAATTTTTAATCTGTTTTTACAAATAAATTTTGCAATTATTCTAATATAAGGTAGGTAGAAGGTGCCTTCTTTGTAACCAAAATTCCACTTGAGCACAACAGGATTAGCGATGGTATCTAAATAGACTGAGCAATGTCATTCTAATTTAACACAACACCTGAATTTGTTGATAAACTCTCACAGCAAATTAAAAAATCTAAGTTCAAACATACAAGTCAAGTAAGGCTTTGAATCAGTTGGTTAATGAACACTGACTCTGAGCTACAAATTTGACAGGGCATGAGAGTTCAATCTTTGGTACTTGCAGTCTCAAAAAATTATTAACAAATAATTAAATATAAAAGGTGATACTAAAATCAGTGATGTTGTGTATTTATCAATGTTCGAAACAGCTGTATATGGTCAGTTAAAAAAATGCTATTAATTAAAAATAACAATAAAAATGTTGTTGTTGCAAATTCACTACTACTCGATAAGAGTCTGTCTACTGAAACCAATAGTTTATAACAAGCATTTAGTTTCTTTTGTCGAAACGAACGTTTAAAATCAATTTAATAAATTTACAATAAAATAATTATAAGTACTTTTAGAACATATTTTGTTTCAAATAAAATTTAAATCTAACTCAAATAGCAATTTAACGTCTTTATTTGTCAATTAAATTTAATAGTTACTATATAAAGCTTCTTAGAATATTATTCTCATTATTTACAAAACTCCTTTGATTCATTTCTATTCATTTGCATACTCAACTGAACTGTAGTTCATTGTTGTATCTATTATATTAGGAAATAGGAAACAGGATATACTTCCATTGTTCTGGAGTTCAAAGTACAAATAAATACGAAATGAAAGCATACACATGTGCAAATCCTATTTACATATGCGTGAGTTCTTCACTAAAAATACCACATAAATCTCTTATTTTTGTAGCCTTTCCCTTTGTTTATATTAAAACAATAAAGTATAGAAATTATTTAAAACAAAAATCTGTAAAATACTCATATAATAAAAATAATATAAAATATTTATCTACAAAGAGAAAGAGAAAATAAATAAAAATATGAACTGAAATTCCGGAATATATTTTAATTAAATTAAATTTATTTATTGTACCAAAAAGTCTTTCACCTACAAAATTTAAATGAATTTTTTAATTAATTTAATTTATATTTAATTGTAATTTAATATAATAAATTTGCTTTTGTATGTAAATATTAAACAATTAGTTAAGTTCCGAGCTGACCATATGGGGCTTTTCGTAATAGCTGCATATATAATTTCCATAATTACAGTTAAATTATTTTAATTTAATTTCAAACTAGTAAAATACTTCATTATCAGCATTTTATAATTAATTAAATTATTTCATAATAAACCTTTATTTATTTTTTATTTGCAGAATTAAAGGCAAACATAATTGGCCCCAGTGATTTATATGTGAAAAGTGGCAGTGATATTAATTTAACTTGTAAGATAATGCAAGGACCACATGAGTTGGGAAATATATTTTGGTATAAAGGTAAGTAAATATAGCATAATTTATTAATCTATTACTAGTGTTTAACAATGAGAACAGAGTGATAAATCTGTGAAAATAGTTTTATTGGTTTTCGAAATATTCTCCACAGTTTTGCCACTCTGAAGTTGGTATCTCCAAAACCAGGGTCTTGAATTTATCAACGGTTTTGTTGGGCTTAGAAAATGGTTGCCACACATTCTTTTTTAAAGTTTGGGAACAAGAAAAAGTCCTTGAGTGCCAGATCGGGATTATAAGATGAATAACCCATCAATTCGATGTTTTGAGTGTTCAAAAATTATTTTATTTGAGCTGAAATATGGTAGCTCGCATTGTTCGATGTTTTGAGTGATCAAAAATTATTTTATTTGAGCTGAAATATGGTAGCTCGCATTTTGTGGATTTTTCATAATTCTCCGAAGACTTTCGTCAAACAAATAGTTATGTGCCTCTCAAAATTGATTCATCTACGTTATTCAAGTAATACATTTGCTTGATCATTTAATACATATGAGCGGTTTTTCTGAAAGAACGTGCAATCCTTTGTTTGAATTTGCTCCGTCCGTGAACAACTTTTATCTGGTTCTGTTTAATTTAGAAAACCCTAACAGTAATTTAATGATTACTTCTGTTAAATGAATACTTAAATTTTTGAATACATGATCTGTGTATCTGCATTACTGATCAGCAGCAGCACAACCTGTATGGTCATACTTTAAATAATTTACGGTTATTCAAAGTCTAATTCCCATGTGAACGAATACATTTTTATTAATACATATACACAATACATATATAAATTAATGTAAAGAAATTATTTATTATAGAAATAATTTTAATCTTACTCAATTGCATTTTATTTTCTTTAAAGGCAACGACATAATTGACATGACAACGAATCAAAATGAAATCGACAGTGGGAATCGAATTAGTCTAGAAAATGATTGGTCTGATGGATTAACATCGAGGTAAGACTTATATACTACTATTTGATAACTGTATTAAGGTAATATTATTATATTTTAAGTTTTGATTTTTTTTTATATATATTTTTTAGTCATAATTTTTACACTTCGAAATATATTTTTTAATTAAGCCATAAGATTTTTTTTGAAGTAACAGAAATTAAAAACTTTGTTAGAGTTTTATTCAATTGAAGTTAAGTGTTTGGGATAACTTAGCCTTTGGTAGGGGGCGTGACCAACACGTGCAACAGCACGCCGAATGAAAGGAAATATAATAAATACAATCATTCCACCCGTATTTTAATCAAAGCCACCACGACAATGACAACCTCTATAGGTTAGGACAGTTGAAACTATGTTCACTCACTTCCGTGGTACCAGATATGCAACTCCCGTTGAGTGCAGTAAATGAAAACTCTCTTACGATCATTTACACTCGAAACTTTGTGGGGTGGTACCAGAATTATAGTCGTCTCTTACAAGCGACTCGGAAATATTTTAACCCCTTTCTCGCAGGGAGTCGTGGTGTCTATTATTAGTCTAGCGGTTGTTTTCTTTGAGTTCTTGTAGTTGTTGTAAGAAATTGATTATTGAGTTAATGTCGATATTTGAGTCACATATTGTTCAAATATAGCTAATCATTTAAGTTAAATGATTCAAACTTGAGCCGGATGGGTAGAATGATTCAAATGAGTTTGACAGATCAAAAGCTTTAAGTCTAGCTTTTGCAGTCTGGATATAAAATCCAAATCATCCAAAACTAATGTATCACAAGTGACTTTGGGTTTATTTAAGTCCTAATATTATTTGTGGCGAGACTATCATATGATTAATAATAATAGTTATAATAACAAATATAAACAAAGACAAACAATATTAAATATTTGTCAATATTAGTAATGTGGTCACCCAAAAAATTATTTCAGTTGTACTTAATTTATTTTTTTGAAGATTTGTGTCAGGTTCTGGACCTTCCTCCTTTAAATAGCATTTTATGCTATGCGAAAGGTTCGAGATTATTTCTCTGAGTTTTGATGTGGTAACAGAATTGACTAATAAATCTTAGTGGATCCTTAGAGTCTACGCTATAAGTTAACCTAAACTTGTTATATTTCAATACTATTTACTGTTTTCTGTAAAGTATTTAATTTTTTTTACTAAAGTTCAACGCCTTCTTGTATCTGTTCTCCTCATATCTTTGAGAGTGACTAGAAAACAAAATTTCTCTTTTATCAAAGATATAACTAAAAGTTAAATTCATATAATCTAAGATATGACTGTATTAATTAATCTTATATTGTACTGTTAATTTTTTTATGTCAAATGTGATGCGTCTTATAACGAAAAGACTAGAAGGATTCGAACAGTGATGATGAGTACTTAGCAATACTCGAAACAGCATTGTATGATTATCTCTAAAAAATAGTGTACCGGTTTATATCGATTAAAAGTTTCTCGTTTTCTCGTCTTGGTTTAGTTCTTGGAATATTGTATGCATATTATAATCATTTAAATCTTATAATTTTTTAACTATATGTACAATTTTTATTAACAAAAATATAAACATTTTTATGTTTTTGGTATGAGTACCTCAACAAACAATTTTTTCAAGCATTTCTCAACGCTTAGACAATGAGAAAAGCAATGAAGAAAAGTGGTATCTCTTAATTTTAGGTAATCACGTAAAACTAAATACTACTTTGACTCTATCTAAATCTGATTGATAAAGTTTAGAAACAAATTTTTGAATTATATTTATGTAAAATGAAACCAACAAAACCAAAATTTTATATTCTACTCTCTAGTGCTCGTTCAGTAAAAGTTTCTCAATTCAGAACTTTTAATTCCACCTGTGTTAGCAAGGCTTATTCGGACCCTATCTTATGAGTACCAATAAAATATTACAATTTATATTTTAGAAATTTGTAAGCAAACTTAAATAACTTATCTTTTCATAATACAAAAAGGATAGCTTTGTATCTTTTAGATAACATATTTATGGCTTGTTCTAAGCCAATGAAGCCATAGATACATTTGTGAATATGTTTGCAATATACAAAAAAGAGCCAGGGCTTGCTTTAAGTAGAATAAAACTAAATACTAAGAGTAGCGAATTAAGACAAATAAAACAAATTTTTAGATAAAGAAATTAAGTACAATTTTAAAACTATTAGTTTCGTTGTATTTGGCTTGATTTGATTTCTCTTTCGTGAAATATACAATTTATTTAAGTACTTGAGTATTAGTTTTAAATGAAAAGTGCAACAAAACTACTAACTTTTTTTTGCCAACTAAGAAACAGTTGATGAAGTTCGCTTCTGAAGAAAAGCGTAAAGGAACTAGAATTAGTAAATTAAAAAACTTCTACTTACTTTTAATACCTTCAAAATTTTATAACCTTAGCGATCTCTTCATGCACTTTTAGTACTACTAACAATAGCTTTAAGTTGACTCTATGAATGGCTTTATGAAATTTATTTAAAATCCTTTTTATATATATTTTCTCATAACTTTCCTGTTGCTTTATTCCCAGATTGAAAATTCGTCGTGCCATGCCCAGTGACACCGGAAATTACACGTGTGTACCAACGATAGCAAAGACGTCAAGTGTTTATGTGCATGTCATTATTGGTAAGTAAAATATTTCCGAAACTTTGTATATTCCTCCTTGTACAAGTACAATACCCCGTACAATGAATTAAGTTGAAAACTCAAAATCAGAACAAAAAAGTTTTGCTTTAAATCTACTTAAAATGTAACAAATATGCTCCACTCAGTTCAAAACTTGCAGCAAACTATGAAGTTAAATGTTCCTTTTGATCCTTTTTGCAAGTTTTGGTTTGCATGAGTGCATTTTAAAGGAGTGCATTCACTAGTACAAGGAAAATGAAAAACAAAAATTAGATATTAAATTTTACAAGCATTTATTACGCAATAATTGAAGTTTAGCTCAGCTTTTGTACGTGTAAGTTAAAACCATGTAAGGACAGAAATTTGCACCAAATTTTCACCTATATAAAAATATACCTAGGGCCTGAAATAAAGTATAAACAAATCCTTAAAGAACTATCTCTTTGAGCATCTGCTGTGTAATTGCCCGGCTCTCTCGAAAACTCGACAAAAATACTTGGGGGCTATCAGTTTTTTCGGACTGGAGCACATACCTAAGGTTTCTATTGAAATCATAATAAAATTCGCTAATAAAACGCGCATCTTAAGTGATGCACACAATCGCTAAAATAAAACTCTGATCTGGTATCGCAATGGACCTTAATGGTCTACGCGTGCTCTGCCATCATAATCTAATCTAATCTACCTCTTTAAATATTCATAATCAACAATTTTATTGTGACGACAAATGTTATTATTGTGGTGAAGATGAGGATACCCCTGCAAACCGCAACGATCTTCATAAAATTGAGGTAAAATTGAGATAAGTCTTCCGCCTAACAATGAAAATATAGTGGTTAAGCAGTGAAAATGGTTTTATGGTTTTTCGAAATATTCTCCACATTTTTGCATTCGATTAAACTAATTTCCGAAACAGTTTTGTCACTCTGAAGTTGGTATCTCCAACATCAGGGTTTTGAATATCTCAACGGTCTGTTTGAGCGTACGCTCGCTATACTTTTTTTTTCTTTATATTTGGTCATTAGTACAAGGGGAAGTCATTGGCGGCCAAGTCGGGACTGTAAGGTGGATGTTACATCAATTTGATGTTGTGAGCAGTAAAAATTCTTTTATTAGGGCTAATGTGTGTGAACTCACATTGTCGTGGTTAAGGCTGATCTTCCTTCGATAATTGATTTTTCTCACATCTTTGAAGACTTCCGGCAAACAAATTATTGTGTACCACTCAGAATTAACCATTCTTCATGGTTGGAGTAGTGTATTTGCGACAAGACCAGTTTTTCTGAAAAAATGTGCAACCATTTACTATGATTTGTTTCGATCGTGGACAAGTTTTATCGAGTTCTGCTCATTTTGAAAGACACAAACAGTGGATTGTTGTTTTGTTTCGAGGTCATAGGCATAGATTCATGATTCAAAAGCTACCACGTTTTCATAGACGTATTTTATGCTACCTCGACTGTATTTTTTAGCATTTTCTTGCACCAATCAATACGTATCTTCTCTTGAGCAATTGTCAAATTATGGGGAGCCCAATGAGAACAAATTTTCCTGACAGCTAAATGTATACCCGTATGTAAAATTGAATGTAATCAGGTCTCACTAATGCTCAAAGATGCCTTTATCTCACGGTATGTAATAGCCAATCTATTTCAATCCTTTCTCGCACTGTATCAATTTTTTCTGGTTCAATAGCCATTCTTAGCTGAAATGTGTCTTGAAGAATAGGACGACCACCCTCGAACTCATTAAAGCAGCGTTTAACAGTCGCTAGATGTGGTATTTCATCACTAAATGAATTATATTAATCGATGCATTCTATTCAGATTAATCCACGTCGAATATCGTAAAAAATCGTCGTATGAGAATGTTCATTATTTAATTTAATTTTTTTGTAGGTACACATTTTCAAATCGATGTTAACAATACAATAAACGCACCGAATCTAAAATATTCTTATGACATTTATACTAGAAAATGTCAAAGTTTCAAACAGAAATGTCATAATTCATCTGACAATCCTTAGTGTTGTCAGCTGTGACTTAGTCAATCGCAGCTATGGTATGGTGTTAGATTTAAGATCTTGAATGGTGGAGGACATTATGCATAATAACAAAAAAATACACCGACAGATACCAGTGAAATTTTGCATATAGAATATAATTACTATTATTACTATTATTATTTTATAATAATATAATATATAATAGTAATATATAATAGTAATATTATATTACTATTAGTACATTTTCAGGCCGAAGGATCTAGTAGACTAGTTCCTTATGCTTAGTAAACGTTAAAATTAGTTTTAGTGTTAACTTACAAATAAATAAGTAAACAAATAACACACGCACAAATATATTGTTTTGAAGATCTTTAGCAGTACCCTCTAAATGTATTAGAAAAACTGGATTAATAAGTTTGAAATTTATAGTAGCTCTCAAACAAAAATGTATATACTAAGTACTCTTATTAGAACTTTCTCAAAGGTGAAGCCTAAAGACATGCTATAGATACATTGTTCAATTAAAATACTTTGATTTCTATTTCGTAATTAATTTTATAGCATAATTTTTGGCCGTAAAATAAATAATATTTATGCAATATTGGTGAAGTATGTACTTAAAAAACCTGGAAATTACATCAATGACTGAAACACGCTTCTATTTTTGACAATGTTTCTATGAAACTCATAGTAATGTGCCATGCCTCAAATACACTTCATATAAACAGAAATTTAGCAGGAATTTTTTATAAAAGATAATTATTAAATTGTTTATATTGTTATAAAAGATTTATTGTTATAAAAGATAATTATTGAGTTAATAATAAAATGAGGTTATATTAGTAAAGCAGGTATGAATATTAGGCCTATCGCTGCTATGTGCGTAGGTCGTTAGATGATAAGAATGTTTTAAGCTTAAAGAATTTTATACTATGGTTTCAAAACTATCTTTTTTGGATGAAAGAACCTTCAGGATTATTGTATAGCAAATTTTGATTTTTTCCAATTTTTATAATATAATATTTTTAAGTATTTCGTTACAAATTAACTTGAATACTAAATCAATACGGCTTATTGCCGTGGTTAAGATACATATATATTTAACAATAAATATTTTTAGAGTGTACATGTATCCTTCATAGATGATATACATTCTTTTATATGTTAATATACTTCAATAATCATCACTTCATTAATCGTATCTGCCAGTTGGTGTAAAATAGTACTCTATATAGTAATATGTATTAATATATATTCACGAATCTAAGATGTGTTCAAAGATCCATTCGAAGAATGTTCTTTAACTTTTTAAACTGTAAAACCCCTATGTTAATTTTAGATATAAGAATAATTGATATTCAATTGAATGTTTTTAAATTTGAATGAGAAACCGCAGAACCGGCCTTTGTACTCCCATAAGCAACACGCAAGTTAGACAGCTTAAATAGTATATTCTTATAATCACGGCTCATAATACAACAAAATAAATAAAAATTATATTGTGATGTTTCCTATATAATACTTTTGATTAGGTAAAATAGTCATTACCATCATAACTGTTGTTAAAATCAAATTAAATATAAATATAACATAAAAATATTAAAAGTTGTATGAACATTTAGAAATTAAAATAGACTATCATTTAGTCTGACAACAAACTAGGGTACCTCCCAAGCGCATTAAAATTATTACATGTACCCCTGAGCTTTACTCACACAGACCGATTGTTCATTGCTCTACACTAAACTTAAGTCATTCGAAAAATATGAGTGATACTGCCAAAGATTACCAGACCTTCAGATTCTATCGCTTAAATGTATAATGTTTTTCTGAGTTAGAAAAAAAATTTCATTTCCTTTTAATCTTATATTTGATTAATTTATTTTAAAGAAATAATAGAGCAAATCGAGTGCAGATTAATAAATAATAATTTTTTTTTAACTTTAACAGTGAGTTCACTGCATTTTCTTAGAAAAAAATTAATAACAGACTTTGAATATTAGCGTATTTGATTTGAAATAGCAATCTACAACATGCAATTCATAAACAACTGTCATATTTCACAGACTAAATATAGGCTACATCTATTTATTCTGCCATTTATAAAAGATGTGATCAATAACTTTATTGGTTGCTATATTAAGCTTATTAATTAATAAAAATTGGTTCCATTTTATTATCTCAGCAATTGATTTGTGCCAACAAAGGTAGATATTTTTAATTGAAACTTTAATACTATGAGGTTTAATAAAATAAAATGATGTCAATAATGGGTAAGAGGAGTGGTATCCTCTTAACCAGGTTTCTTTCATTGCAATCAGGAAGTGTACACATCCTTATTACTTTTTATTTCAAATAACCATTATAAAGCTAAAATTTAAGTGAAAAGTTTTGAAGTAGGAAAGAACTGAAAGCCAGATGAATAATAGAGAAATGAAACACAGCTATGTACTCTATTTGAAGTGAAAGGAAAAAGGCTGCAGGCAATTGAACTTGCAATTAATAGCTACAAAGAGGTAAACAATTCAAGCAACTCAAGCAATATACGAGCAGACAACTCAGCACAACATACGCGCAAGCACTTGCATCCATACAAATGAGCGCTGGGTAAGCCTAGCACCCTGCTTTACCCAGCATTACCCAGCATACACATCTATAAATAAACTAAATAATTTCAACACTCATACTTGTGGCAACGCTTTTGCTGGAGTACAGGATGAAGGACTTGTAAAATGCGAGCAACTGAAAAAATGCACCTTCGAGGAATAACAAAGTAAACAGTAAATTTAGTTTTGTGTAGATGCACGCTTTCCAAAAGAGACCACATAGATTTAGAAACCTCGTGAAAAACCAAAAAAAAAAAATAAAAATACATAAAAAAAAAAAGAAATGTAAGGAAGAAATGGTCTGACAGAGGCTTGAAAGTGCTTCACTACACTACTCATGTGCATTTATTTAGCACTTAAAAATTGCTCATTTAGCAGTGAAAGCAGTA